TTGGATGGTTCAGGGTTGGTCTTAGGTTCTAGAGCCTCTTTTTGAACATTAATCTCCCTCATTTGATCTTGAGATTGGAGGGAGCGTTTAAGTTCAACAGCCATACAGAGATCATTGACTAATTTATCGGCTTTAGACTCAGCTTCTAGTCTCTCTCTTTGAAAGTCGTCCAGCATTTTCTGCATCATTTCTGATCCTTCGCATAATCTCCTCTCAAACTCCTTTTCCTTCCGGACTGACTCAAGAAGTTTTGCTCTTTCTCGAATTGCCACCTTGTTTGCTTCAATTTGCTCTTCAGCAAACAAAGTGTAGTCACGGGAGTAAGGTGGTTCGTACCAAGAGCCTTCAGCGAATAAAAGTTCGTCGAAATAGAAGATTTTCTGTTCTAATCTTATTATTTCCTCAACGAGTGGATCAGGTTGATTGTCATACATAGGCCCAGATTGGTCATAGTCATCTTCATCTCCATGAGGTTCATAATAATTATCCCCATCAGAATTTTGGTATGGAAAATATCCAAAGCTCTTAGACGGGGTTTCATATGGTGTTTCCTCATGGTAGGGATAGTAGTCAGATCTATTGTTGACTTGGTAAGTATTATCATATGGGTACTGATGTGGGTGATAAGGTGGATGGGTTTGAAATGGAGGGCGATTGGGTGATTGGTAGGAAGAAGGCGGACCGTAATAACCACTAGGGTTATCCATAATATTATTACGGGTGGTTGGTGAAAGGAAGTGAGAAGATCGTTCTAACCAATCTTCACCCAAGCTAATTAAAAGAAATTAAACTAATGCCGTGCCACTCCCCGGCAACGACGCCATTTGACAGTTGTAGTTTTTCGGGTAGTAAACCTTCCCAGTAAAGGGTTAGTTTTCTCTCCGAGTGTCGTATCTCTCGAGGAGTGGACAAAGGGAATTAGTTTAATTACTCTAATTAGGCAAAGATTAGGATTGGTTTATGAAAGTCTTCTCGAAACGATTATAAAAGGAGCAGAGTAAAAAATAATAAATTAAGTTTACATAGTATAAGTTTAGATCTGGACCTTGGGTCAGGACATCATTTGGATCTATTTTATCATATTAAATTAACAATTGGAATAATAATATTTCTATTACTACTCATCCATTTCTAGATTTGTACTTAATCTGTTGCACTTGAATATCGTAGCCTTTTAGCATACAATATCTTCTCAATAAATAGTTAATTAAATCTTTCGAGAATAATTAACTAAATAAGGCAAGAACAATA